ATGTGGGACGCTGCCTCAGCGTGGTTTGATGAGCAGTGCCATGTCCGCACCCAGGATTCGAACCAACGAAACACTGGGCCGCCTGCAGCGGAGCGTGCGAACTTAACCACTCGGCCACGGGGCCAGCCCCTCAAAATGTTTAATAAAATATATGTAATAAGATGCACTAATAACATGGGACCCAGAAGTTATTCAAATCGAAAGCTCTGGAAGAAGATGATGTTGTTTATTCCTATAGCTCACCTGCTCTAGGAAACCACCTCATGCAAACACTTTTTTTCTTTCGTTTTTAGAAATGAGTTACACTTCTCAAGTCAACTCCAAATTGACTTAAAACATCCTGTATTGTTTTAATAAAGGTGCTTTTGGACAGGCCTTTGAAAATCATCTCGGTTATATAAACAGCTCAACCAAACTGTTGAGCTGGTTTATCACTTTGATAAGATAGTTGTCCTTCTTTGGTTTTGAAGCTTCAAAATGCTGCCCCTTCAGGGAATTTAAACTAATTGCTGATCACTATGCAGTGACATGCAAAACTTTTTATTTAGCCAATTGTTACCCATCCTTCTTAGTAATACAGAGTATTGAGGATTTGTTTCTCCTTTCTAAATAAATTGATGTAAGGAAGCAATGTAAAGGGGACCTCAGTGTCACACCAGATGATGCATAATTATGTGTGTCTTAGGGGACAGGGTGGAAATTTGGGGTGGGGAAGCAGGCTGTCATTCGGTTTCTTCCCCATGCAGTGGTTACTCCATGCTCTGCCCATGTACATGAAGACTGCACACCTGTGGGGATCTGCAGCTGAGTAAGACTGATGGGAGAAGAGCAATGACAATTCTCCCTTTTACCAGCAAGTTTCATGTGGATGGGGAACTATGCATCCGGTGGAGTCCTGGCCCCCTTTCTCTTAGCTGAAACATATTGGTGTGGCTTCTCCCCTTTCTTAAAATAATATTGGGTGGAGGGAAGATGACAGAGGTCTGGGTAGATGACTCTTCTCTCTTATTATTCCTAGAAGGAACAAAACCTAACGCTATGATATGAGAAAAAAAGAGTCGGTAACCCAATATATTAAATTACCTTGCAATGAAGACCTGAAAGCAAGGAGAGCAAGAGACTTTTTTAGGACAGAGATTTCTAAATGTCATTTTGACCATGAAAAAGTACTGTTATAAGTCTAAAACTTTTCGTATTTTACCAATCCTCAATGCTCATTTAAATTCTCACCATTTCTCAAATAATAGACAGTTCCAAAGTTTTCGCTCGAATTTTCCCTGGGCTTAGGGAATAAATTGGAGCCAAAATGTAGCCAATATTTTAAATTACGTAAACAATATTGGAGATGGTTCCATTAATTTCTTAAACCCATGTCAGGTAATGGAAAACAAACTTGCATCTCAGATCGGCTTCCAAAAATGAGATACAGAGTTAGTGATTCCAGTAATTTAGAACACGGTGGTGTAAGATTTTCCTTCTTGGTTATTACAGATCACTGTTGTGGTGGAGTCATGTCTGTTTTAAATAATGCTGTTGATAGCAAAAAGTAAATTGCCTGTTTTTAGGGGAGAGGAAATACCATATGCCAGTTTTATTTCAGATTTGACAATTATCTTACACATATTAATGGCTACCAGTGAGTAACAAGTCAGTGTCGGAAAGGATCGTGAATCTAATTAAAATGAACAGGCTGATCCATAAGTCCAAATCCCAGGAGACAACAAACAGCATGGGGCAGCCAACGCCCAGACGTGTCCATTTTCAGCTAGCCCTAAGAAATATGTGCTCTCCCGTAATTTCCATTGTCCAATTAAATGGTGCGTTTAGAAATGCACAGCAACCTAAGGTAGAGAAAACTCAAAATACAGTGCTTTTTAAATTTAGATTTCAGGCCGCAAACCCACATTTCTGAAAGTCATAATTCCTTGAGGTATACAATTACAAAACTTATTGTTTTGTGGTTAGGTTATCTAGCAAAAAAAGAAAGAATGATGGGAACACCTGATTTTTACTGTTATATCTTGGCCATAGGGGGTAAAATGAAACTGACTATGAGCAAATGTCAATTCTAAAGTTGATGCATCACCAGAGTAGGATAGTGCTTCGTTCAAGACTTGGTTTCTATGAAGGCTAGTAGAGTATAAGCTCCTTAAAAGCAGGGTCGCTGATGCATGGCTGTACTGCATCACATAGGACAGTGCCTGCCCCATGGTAGGTATTGGATATGTATTTGGAATCAGCAAACGACTGAGTTCAACATCACAGGTACTTTTGTAGGCACAGCCTGGTGGAGAGTCATATGCTATATCAAGATTTTCTTTTTTTTCTAAGCAACAAGGCTGCTGGATGAGTCTAGGAAATGTAAGCTAAGACTTATACTGAAACATAAGTGCACATTTGCTAGCTGACAGATTGGGGAGGGCAATATAAGTAGAAAAACGGAAGGCATAGAAGCATGAAAAATATACTGTGCGGGCAGTTTATATTCTGAAACATAAAGACCTTGTTGAGAACGAAGACAGAGTGGAGGTAGAAGAGGCTGGATAGTTGGATGGAGGCCAACTGGTGAAGAAAATAGAAAAAAAGACATTCCACATTCTTCCATCACCTTCTCTACCCGACTCCCTTATGGCCCCCCTTACGTCAGTGCCCATAAATTTTTTGTTCCATCCTGTTACTATGGATAGATTGTCCATCTTCATGTCATGAGCATCCTTTTCACTTGTATTCTAAATCTCATCCCCTCTCACCTACTTAAGGATAATAGTTCAGGAATTCTCTCTTTCCTGCATCATAATTTTTAATCTTCCACTGGTTTGACTTGACATTCACTGCAGCCTAAAAGCATGCTGTAATATCTTCCATCTTATTAAAATTCTCTGTCTACCACTTATCCTCCTTCAGCCATGGCCCCATTTCTCTTCTCCACTTTATAGCAGATATCCTCAAAATGGGGTCAAAAAGAAGGCCGTCACCATGTCCTCTTCTTTATTTTCTCATTATCCTACTCTACTCTTTGAGTACAGCTATATCCAAAGAGATATTTTCAACATCACCAATGACCTCCACATTTTTAAATTCAAAATTAATCTCAGTCCTTATCTCATTTGACCAATCAGCCTCATGTCACGGTTGCCATTTTTGGGGTTTTTTTGAAATACTGGTTTTTGAGACACCACTTCTTATTGATTCTCCTCCTTTCTTACCTGCAGTTCACTTTTGGTTTCCTTTGTTGGCTTCTTCTAATATTTTTAATCTTGAAATGTTAAAGTCCTCAGAGCTGCACCCCCAGACCATGTCTTCATCTAATGCGCTTTCTAGGGGACTTCATACAGTTTCATGGCTGGATCTCAAATTTATGTTTTTAGTCCAGACTTGCAGTAGTATGAATGCTAGGCTTTGTATATACTTGTTGTATATGCTATTTCAGCTCCTCACCTCCAGCTGCGTGTCCTATGATATCTTTGTTTACTGTCTGTCTTATCTTTAAGAACATATGCTTCTTGAGGACAGAGACTTTGTTCTGTTCATTGCTGTTCCCAGGATCTGGAACGATCTAGCACAGAGTAAGCTCTCAATTTTGTCATGTTGCTGCTTTGTTAAATAAAATATACGCACACCCTATGGCCCAGTATGTATTCTAAAGAATCTAGGTATGTAAGAATATTAATTTCAATATTATTAAGGAAGCAGGAGGGTGAAGGCACCTTGGGTGTTTCTCTCTAAGAAAGCGAATGGATAAAGTGTGGTAGATGCTCATTATGGGTAAGAGAGGCACCATCTGAAATGTTCACATAGCTACTTGGGTAGATAAAAATAGTTCTGAGTAAAAACAATGTACAATTCATAAATCTACACTTTTGTATATGTGTATAATGGTTCCATTTATGTAAATTAAAAACACATGCCCACAAACCAACAATACGTTTTAAAGGTATTCATCTAATCATAAAGGTATATTTTATGTATCTATTTTATACATATTAGAATCTTTGCTAATGGGATGAAGGGGAAAGGAGAAAGTTATGTGGTAAAAATGAAGAGATAAAGAAATGAATGAAGAAATGGACAAGAGAGAAATTGTGCCTGAGCCAACGGTGATAATGTGCTTTGAGCTGACAGGTCTGACTGTCTCACCTGTCTGTAGCTGAAGCACAGCAGAAAGAAAGAATGTGGAATAAACAAAAGAGGTGACTTTGAGTCTACAAGAGATGGGTAGAGGAGTGACCTCATAAAAAATGTCCCACCCCAAAAGAGAAAGAACACCATTTATTCTGCCCTTAAGTCCCTCTACTCAAAATGCAACATGTTGAGAGAGGGAATTGCATGAAGCAAGTTTTAGTTATCTGCATTCTTCTTGATTGTACCAGGTTTTAAGAGGAAAAGATTGGAAAAGCAAGTATGGAGGAAAAGTGGGGCAGGATCAAGATTTATCCTCTTTCCCTGATGGCTCACAGAGTGGGAAAGATAGCTTCCCAAAGTAAGGCCAGATGCTATGAGGAAGGGGAGAAAAGTTGGAAATAGTTGGAAAGTAAAACCACTAGACACCACACGATATCAAAAGTGCCGTATAGGTAACGGTTAACAATGACCTGAAGTGGTTGCTGAACGCAATCCTTCTCGGAAAATTCAATATTATTTGCTCTTGGGAAAAAAAAGCAAACTGAAAAAAGGCTCCAGTTTCCAACTATAAACTGCATTGAGAGCTGCCCCAAATAATCTAAATTTATGCAAATGACAGTTTATATTCAGACAGTAGATACCAGGGGTGAAGAAACCAGTACAGATTTGAAACAGCTGCCAGCAAAGCACCAAGAAAACACACACACTATTCCACTAGATTAATAGAATAACCAAATTTGTAATCATGTGAGATCTTAAGTTATTTTATTCTATGCATATATTTTATTTGTAGGGGAGACACACATCTTTTAGAACACAATTTTTTTTCCTCTGCAGTAGACCCCATTTCCCCCATTTTAATGGAATGGTGACACCACTGAAGTTTAAAAATCAAATTATTTATTGTGGAATTATATTTTTACTTTGCTTCTCTTGTTTTTCCATCTTGAAACTTTTAATCTTCATTATGTATGTATTTTTTTATTGGCACCTTTCCTAGGGGATTTGGGAAGAAGAAAGAAAAGAAGGGAGATGAAAATAAGACCTTTAAACTCTTACAAAGATTGTTTTAGAGGAGATAGAACCTAAGAACTCGTTCTTTCACTTACTTATCAAATACTAAGTGTCCACTCTGTGCCAAGCATTGAGTTAAACATACCAGACAATGGAAGAAGAAAAGACTTTAAAAAGTCTTTTCTAAATAGATATAGATACCGATATAGTTCCACTAACGTAGATTATCAACAACTCTGCGCATTCTAACTCAGTCCTTGTTAACTCACTTGGGAAAAACATCCCATGATATCCTTACAGTCTGGATGTAGAAGTCGCAACAGACTTTTCCCCTTCTGATTTCCGCTCTTCAATTTTTTAAAATTAGAATTTTTCCAAGCACTATTTCTAATCACAATGTGCTGCCATTCTCCGCAGTCGCTTTGGCAAAGCGAATCAAAGAAGTATCAACCATTCCAGCCTTTAGCCTGAACAGATTGTCTGCCTCTCCCAGCTGATTGTCAGAAAGGAATGCAGACCGCCTGCCCACTGAGCACCAGGATGCACTCAATGACAGAACATCACCCTCAGGTTTTGACTTCAGGGGACCTTGAACTCCATCAGAGAATCACTGAACAGACTGTCAGACAACAAATCCCCCCTGGTCCTCCACTCTCTCTGCTTACTTGCCTCTGAGATATTCCATAACTTTATGCGACTTCTGACACCGAGCATCCTTTCCTGTGATGCTGTGCTCTTGCCAAGTTAAGATAAATGTCTTCAGAGACAGTTGTTCTGCAGCTTTCCATTTTAGATAAAGCTGATGTGTGCTTTAGGACTTCTTTTGTGTTCAAGGTCAATGTCATTTAGCTTGCTGTACTCTTTTATTTATTGATGGTTTTGTTCTGAGCTCAGGGAAGGCACAATTCCATCTGGCTTTAGGTGCTGAATTCACCCTTTTATCCTTCCAACCTGGGAATCTGTGTGTCTCATGGAATACAGAGCTGAGCTGGATGTGTTCCTTTCTTTAAAAATAGCTGCATTCTGGGCGTAGATTACTATGGGAGCATTTTTGGACATTTCACATTCCTCTCCAGTGGGTACCATAAAGTCATGGCCATGAAGGCTTGCCAAGAACAGCTAACAAGTATTCACATTCCAGTCCAGAGGTACTGTTCCTAGCATTATTTGGCTTGATTTCCATGTTTCCCTTGCTGGACATCATAAAGTGTTCTGAAGCTATTCTAAGCATGCTCTATTTTCACAATGCCCTCCCCAGCCTTAGGTGACATGAAGCGTGTCACCATGAGGCAACGGTGAGAGGTGAAGCACAATTATTATTACTTGTTCCTTTATTCACTTTATAAGCCTATGGGTTTTCGGTTATGTTTAGGAGTTATTCATATAATGTTATTACTCAAAAATTTCCCCTTAATTGTTTAAAGAACCAGAGAGAGTGCTCAACTTTGGTCCAAAGACATTATGATAGTCAAAAAACAAGGCTTGAGGGACCGGCCCTGTGGCTGAGTGGTTAAGTTAGCGCGCTCCGCTGTGGCGGCCCAGGGTTCGGATCCTGGGCTCGGACATGGCACTGCTCATCAGGTCACATTGAGGCGGCGTCCCACATGCCACAACTAGAAGGACCCACAACTAAGATATACAACTATGTCCGGGGTAGGGGGTTGGGGAGATAAAGCAGGAAAAAAAAAAAGATTGGCAACAGTTGTTAGCTCAGGTGCCAATCTTAAAAAAAAAAAAAGGTAAGACCTCTTTTCAAAAACATAACCAAAATACAATTTAAACAAACAAACAAACAAACAAACAAAAAAAAACAAGGCTTGATTCAAAGTTTCAACTATGTAAGTCAAATGGAAGTTTCATTCATTTAGACCAGTGGAAGCTACCCAAGATTTATCCCCAAATTGCTTTTCTTTAAACCATGTATTTTTCAATTATCAAAGCTATGCTGCAGTATTAAAGGGAACTGTAGCTGTCTCACATCTCTATGTCTGTCTGTCTATCTATCTAGTTTCCTATTCCCTTGTGTTTTCCACCAACATATATTGTCATAGAGAATATAAAATTTTCATATTTTATATGAAATTTTATAACCAGCTTTAATAAATCACCTAGCAATTTCCTATCAGGATTATGGACAGAATAACTCCTCCACCCTCCACTTGTACATACTTTTACCTCCAACATCATGTACCTGAATATGTCAAAACAAATATTTAGGCGTTGCCTGCTTCATGTGAGGTACTTTTACACAGATCTAGGAAAATATTCTATTCCGGGTTTTTTGGTTGAGCATGGGCAGAGGATATTTACTGATGTGAAAATATCAGAATGCTAATTTTTATTGCTTTAACAAATAAAAGCTGTTGTCATTAGGGTCAGAGTGGGTCTCCCTTGGAGGCCATGTGCTTTCCTGATCAATTTTGCAACTGGAAGAAACTTCAAGACACATCGAGAGGAGGACACACACAAAGGCAGTGGCAGATTTCACAGCTCGACCCAGACTCCGGTCACAGGCACCAATGGTGGGCCAGCCGCGGTGGGGGCCTGCTTCTAATACAGACAAGCCGGTAGGTAACAGAGGTTTTTCTTACTGTCCACAAAGCTTTATCTCACTAAACAACTTTTGGACACTTTCTTACTTCTTGCTCTTCAAAAAATGAGTGTCCCTAATAGATTGAGTGATTGTAATCCACTTATTCTTTATGTCTTTGTACAACTTTCTGCACTTCTGTCCCTTGACATTTAGGAAACCATGGTAACAATGACTTCTTATTGTAGACCGCTCCTGTGGGCCCACTGGTGACTGCACTTGTTAGTGTTTTTTCTCTTTGTAATGAATGAGTGGCTGTGGTCTGCTCTTAGTTTCTCCCATTTGTTCTTTGCACTTGGCTGCTGAGCCTTGAAACAAGTGACAGGTGCAGGTTTTTATGGTTTCTACCACCCCCTAGAACCGTTGCAGCTCAGAGCTGTATGTATACTTCCGTTTATTATCAAGAGAACCATGACCCCAATGCCAGTCATATGGCAAATGTTCCAACAAAAGGAAGAAACTAGTGCTGGCTGGTAACCATCCTCTCTGAGTAAATGCACTCAGGTCTTCCGTAGGTAAAGGAAACTTTCCTTTGACCTTGCGTTCTGTTCTCTCTCATACCCTCCAGACTCCACATCCTGACTGCCCATTCATTTCTAATTCCTTAGCATATGGCTTTTACACTGTTCACAGCCGAGTTGTCGGTCATCTGTGTCAATTTCTCTAAGTTCGCGTCAGTCCCACGTCTTTAACTGTCTACTTCTTCATCTGATTATTTAGTGACAATTTCAAAAATAATTTTTCTAACCCCAGACTCATATTTTCTCCCAAATTGACTTGTTCTTAAGATTACCTTATTTCCTATTCCTCTGTTATGTTTTGTCCAGCTATTTCAGCATTGTTCTACCCCATCTTCTCATCTCTCGCAGCTTTTCTCTTACTACACACAAAAGACTATTTATTAACATAAAACACAACAAAAATGACAAGCAAAACAAAATAAGATAAAATAAAATACTCTGTATTTTTTAAATTAGTTCATTCTTCCCAGATAGACTATGAACTTCTTGAGGGCAAAGGCTTAGATCCATTTATTTCCTTAACATTCAGCACAAGAAATATTTGTTGGGGGTTAGTCACCTTCATATTTTTACTCTTGACATACAATGATTAATACATATTAAAGAAGTTCTATAGAATTCAGACTAACTTAATAGAGGTTCTTAACATTTTTAATATCATAGAATTTTTGAGAATCTGATGAAAACAATGTGCTCTCTTATTAGGAAAGCAAGTGCGCGCACACACACACACACACACATCTCTCTCTACCCCTTCGTGTCTCTCTCTTTATCTCTGTCTTCGTCCTCTTTCTCTCTGTCTCTTACTCTTTCTTTCTCTTTCCCTGTCTCTCACGCACACAGTTACAAATACTATTTTTGCATACACTTTTAAAGCATTTCTGGACCCTCTGGGGTCCATCTATCGGTGCCAAGTTAAAAGTTGCTGCCCACTAGTTTTTATAGATAATATTTTAGTACTATTTTTGTGGAATTGTTAAAGAATGATGAAAGGAAAGAAATAAGAACACTATCGAGAGGGAGAAAGGCAAAAAGGAATGACGGGGTGAAAACAAGAAGCAAGAGGGATAGGTGGTAAGAGAGGAAAGCAGTAGAGGCTGTCACAAAGTGGCGTGAAACATAGTTGATTCTCTAGGACCAAAAACGTTCAGGATTTAGGCTGAGGCTTGGAGAACTTTAGGCTGAGAAGAGGACCACAGCATAAAGCAAGGCAATGGCACCCTCCACCCTCTGGCCAATATGATCCCAGGGAGAACGATTCCTTACAGACGTTATGAGTGATCAGTTTTCATTCTGGGATCATCAGATCCTAAGTCTGACTATTACTGGAGAAGAACTAGGAAATATGGAGAAAATATCAAGTCTGGGAGGATGACTTAACCTTGACTGGTAATACGATGTGGGCATTGGGAGACAAAACAGAGACGTCTATTGCCCAAGAAGTTTAAGGACTCCCTGCCTCCCGTCCTTCCAGGTCTAAGTGGAGTTAGAAGGAGTCTTCAGATGTAATAACCACGGACCCAGTTTTATATTTTTATAGTAATGCTAGCAATTGTTCATGCATATGGAGAGTTTGTAAGCCAGAAGCTAGGCTGAGTATCTCACATGGATTATTTCACTGAATCCTCACCAGAACTTCAGAAGGTAAAAATAATTCTTTTTCCCATTGTGTGAACGGAAAACTGGGGATGGAAGAGATGAACTAGCTTGCCCAGGGTCACAGAGCCAAGAAGTTGCCTGGCTGGGACCCTCATTGTTGGACATCAGGTTTAACTTTCTTAACCACAACTTTGAACTGAGGAGGAGACCTGAGATGGGGTCGCTGTAGCAGGGGCTGCTAGTGGTAGATGGAAAACAGATATACCTGGCCTTCGCTCCCCAGCCAAGGAGATGTTAGTGACATAGTTGATTTCTTCTTCTCAAATTTTGAACAGCTGTGAGGTGTTGAGACTCCTGAGCCCAGTATCAGTATCTATAAATAGCCCTAACTTGATCCCCTTTGATTTTATTTTTGGATGTCATAGCTTTGCCCTTTCTTTATTTTAGCTAAGCCTCTACTGCATGTTCCCTGAGCAGCACAGCGATCCGTTTCAGGAGCATATTTTATGTGAAGCTGATACCAGCCGCCCAGTGGAGACCTTCAGGCTCCTGCCAGAGAGTGATTGGCACCCAGGAGAGACAGGTTCCCCAGCACCCAAAAGCGAATGTGTTTCACAATAAGTCTTTATCTCAGCATGAATAAAAACAATACATTGTGAAGAGTCTGAGCAGCTATTCTCTTCACACACACACACGCACACAAATTTACTGTTAACACACAGCTTATTACCGGGAAGGAAGACAACAGGGCTGTCCTGGTAACAGCCTCCGTATGACTTGTTTTTTAATGCTTATTATTTAAAGCTCTTTAATATCCAGTGCTGGATGATTTAAGACAGTCAATTGATATTCATTCATTTACCAGACATTTCTGAGCACTTGCTATATATCAGACAATATTCCAGGAATACAGCAATAAACAAAGATAGACATAAATCCCCGCCTTTGTGGCGCTTACATGGTGGTATACACACACTTGAAAGAAGTGGAGAAGGTGGGAGAAACAGATCCACCATTTACCTCATTTAAGGTCCCAGACATTGCCCTGCATTAGGAAACTGCACTTTTGATGTCACTTGATTGAGAAAAAAACTTATGACAATAATTTCTATGGATTCAGAAATGCTTTATTTATATTTTGTCATCCACGATTCCATGTTTATGCATCAGAAGTAGTCAGACAAATATATGTGAGATATACTGATTTTGTCTAAAGAAATGCTTGGTGTATCTCTTGTGGTAATTTCACAGCTT